TATATATATATATATATATATATATATTATATTATATTATTATATATTATTATATTATTATATTATTATTATTATTATTATTATGTGCATGTGAGGTTTTTTTTCCTCTAAAATTGCTAGTTTATTGATATTAATGCAAAGGATTGATGGAAATTCGGTTACAAAACGTCCTACACGTTCAAATGAATGATGAATTATTTGTTTAAAAAATAGTTGATCATTTACCATATCATCCTTCAAATAAGCTATTGGCCAAAGGGTACTTTTGTACACACAAAAAAGGGAAGAAACCATCACTAATTATTCACACTTTTATAGTTAGTATAGATTTAAAAAAAAAATTGCAAACAATTGCTTGATTTGTTACAAGTTATGAGTACTTTAAAAAATAATTCGGAGGCCATGCCCTCGGACCCCATAAATTTTTAATTTATCTTGCTAACATCAACACTACTTGATTATATTATCTTCAAAATTTTCAACTCTAATAATGAATAAGTAAAGCGTATATTACATAATAGGGGGCCCATTTTTATGTATTACTAAAATTCGCCTCTATTGTTTTTTAATGGTTTAATGCAGTTATATACGATTTTTAACGAATAGGTTTTTTTACGATTCAAAGTGTATCTTATTGTTTATGCTAAAAATAAATTTAGTGTTATAGAATATAATATATTAATACAAGCTCAAATGAAAGCTTCTGTAATGAAAATGTAATTGCCGAATGAATTTTGTTATTCCCTTTTTCAATGCCCAAGCATCACTATTTATACAAGAATGGAATAAGCATTGTCATGCTTTAAGTGGATATCTATTACACAAGAAGGACACGTAATATTTAGCTATTAAGAAATATATGCTGAGTCCTTAGGCCCAGTTTGGTTGGGCTGATCCGGGTGGATAGTTCCTCTAATCCACTCGGATCTCAGCTTTGGTTGAGCCCAACGGGGTCTGGGATTGCACTTGGGCCCGGGTCCGGATCAAGGATTTACCGGATCTCCCATCAGGCCGAAGGAGGTGAGATTGGGTAATCTCATCCAACTCTCAGCCCAATCAAGTACAGTATATTACCTTTATGCCCTGAATATTTATTTCTAATTACAAGACTACCCCATATATATATGAATTACCCCAAAAATTATTGTGTTAGCCCTAGAATTTTACCGACATAGCAATACACGCTGTTCTTCGTTCTGCTTTTCTCCACTGTGGTCGGTTTTTTCACCGAGGTAATTTTTCCGATAATCAACTCATCTAGGTTCTCTAACACGCTTCTTTCTTCGTTTTATAGGCCCCCCTAAACCGGTTGAAGAATAATCAACTCATCAGAGATTGATTTCTTATTTTTCATACTTCACTAGTTTTTTTTTTATTTGGTTTTTTCCGATAATCAACTCATCACAGATTGATATCACAGATTTCTTCAAATGCATCCGAGTATTGTTGAAGAATTTTGGGTTTATATGGGTTTCGATTTTTTTTATTGTTCTAATTATCCGTTCCTTCATCTCGTAATTAAATTTATTTGTTTCCGTTTCGCAGGTGATTTTCGATTGTGGTTTCGTAGTAGTTCTTAGTTTGCCCGGGCTGATTCTGTTATGGCCGAACGATTCCGGTGTTGCAGCTGGTTGACGGTTGGCTGTCGATTATCCCGGTTCTGCTACACGACGATTTAAGGTGAGTTCTCCAATGGATTTAAGCTCTTCTTTTAGATTACAGATTAAGGATTGAGAAAGGTAGCATTTATTTGGAAAAACATATTTCATCTTTTTTTTTTGGGAAAAAGTAGTACATTACGTCATTCTTGGTTGGAAAATAACCATTATTTGGAAAAATAACCAATTAGTGAATTAGAATTAGTTAATATTAAAGTCAATTAGTGAAATAATATATGATGTTACTCAGTATAAATTGTTTGGCCTTAATATTGTTTGGCATAAACAGTATATAAAGAATGCAATTAAGTTGTTTTTTTTGTAATAGTTTACGATAGTTATTTCATCTTTGCTTGCTCTAGGAGTTGGTTTATATGTTTCATATGTTTGAGAGAGGTTACAGGGTCTGGAATGTGAAATTTAGTTGTGAATATGTTTTTTTCCCCCAGCCAGTGTAAGTATTTGCAAAAAGAAATGTATGCTTAATCAGATTAGAGGAACAAAAGAATACTATATTAATCTGTTGAGACTAGGGTAGATTGGAAATATGTAATCTCTGATTGTTGCTGTTTCCCTCCGTTCCCTATTAAGTGTCGTTTTTAGCTTTACAAAATGTGTCTTGATTTTAGGTAGAACACATTAAAAATATTAAAATAAACTTGATTATTTAATGATGTGATAAGAGAGAGATAATACTAATAGATGAAGTAATAAGGTTAAAACAAGAAAATATTGTTAAATATTGTTTTTACAATATATATAGGTGGTATATATTGTTTATACAGGAAATCAATATATTACTATAATTATAATCGTGGCATTTTTTATGTTGTTTACTAAGTAGGATCACAATTGTTAATGGCGAACACGAGTGAGAAACAAGTAATAGTTTTCGCGGTGTATGAATTAGTCGAACAAATGCAAGTACTGTTAACAATGCTTAGTAGGATCATCCATTTGCTTCTACGTCGCCGCCGGGTCAATAATATTGTCGGTTCATCGTATAGTATGAGGGGTAAGATACCTGCTCAAGTCCGAAATTTGACTTACATAATTGGAAATCCGACAATGGGTTCCGGAACGGTTACTTAGGTGTGTTGGAACAACACATGGCTCTAAAATTTCCCGGGACCGACATTAAGGCGGATCCTATGATTTTATCAAAGCTTCACGTTTGGAAAAAACAATATGGCTCGCTTTCCCAAATGCTTTCAACGTCGGGATTTTGTTCGAATGAGTCGGCGAACACCATTGATGTAATCGACGATCAAGTGTGGAACAATTATGTTAAGGTGAATTTCTACCGGTTACTATACATTAACGTAATTGAAACCCATAATGCGAACCAATTTAATGCACCTCCTCCATTTTCATTTATTTTGTAGTTCGATTCAAATGCCCGGTTGATGCGCTATAAATCATGGCTATATTTCAAAGATTGGACAATCATCTTTGGAAAATATCGGGCTACGGGGGAAAGTGCCGAGGCTCTCGCCGATGCGATCAACGATATATCGAAACAAGATAAAGAAGCGGGCGACGATTCAATGGGTGGAGACCACATACCGCAACCTGCCATGCACTCCAACGAGAATGACTCGGAGAACATGTCCTCATTGCACGGTGAAGGTTACATGTCTAACATGCAAGGTGAAGGGACTTCAACCTCACATCAAAGTAGGGGTAAAAAGAAAGGCAACAAGCGTTCCCGAAACGATGACCTCGATGGCCGTATCGTGGATATGATGGCGGATATGACTAGGACTTTTGCGGAGACTAAAACATGCCTAGGCGAGTTGGCCCACCGTATCGGTTTTGAGCACGATCCGTCAACTACACATGTAAGAAGGTGTTGGATGCCCTATCGCCGTTATGTTTAGGTGTCGAGGATAAGATTACTGTCGCTAAAGCCGTTTGCAATAGCCCAACCGATCTCGACATCTTTTTTGGATTAAATGAAACCGAAAAGGGGGTTATGGTTCGAATGATCCTCGAAGGGCGCTACTTCGGTTAGCTAGAATATCATCCACTCACAAGGTGAAGAAACTTTTTCCCGTATTCGGACCCTATCTTGCGGCGTTATTTGCATTGAAGACATTTCTGTTAGTTTTTCCGTATGAACTTATAAATTTTGTGTATTATGGCCGATTATATGTCTGTAAATATTCTGTTAGTTTGGAGCTACTATGCCTAAATGGTAAGCTGAAAAAATATTTTGTTATTTAGGAGCTAATGGTCAATTTTAAACAGGTTCACGGGTTGTGTAATATTCCAAGGTTTTTGTCAATATGCATGTGTTATATTCACACTGCAATAGGTTATACTTGCAGGCCTTCGTGCAGATTTTTGTCAATACGCATGTCTTCGTGTTTTTTTTTAATTTCATAGTAATTGGTTTATGCAATTGCGAAAGTTTCATTGTGCTCGGTCATTGGTTATAGTGTGATCAATTACAACTTTAAATTCTATATGAACAAACATCTGTATCAACAAATTTAAACAAACAATGTTAAATATATAAATATGTATTAACTAAGAAAAGCAGTAGTATGAACAAAATGTAAACAAACAATATTAATATATATTATCGCCCATGGGTACGAAAATGAAAATTAAAATTACAAACCAAAATACACAGTCAGGAAAATCAAATACTAATACCGAAAATCTTGCCGACTACATGGAAGTGGGAAAATAATACGGGAAATACCAATAATAATAATACGGAAAATATTAGGAAAAATATTAGGAAAAACTAGCCGAGATAATGGAGATTGGAAAATTTGAACTCCCATTGATCAATGGAGTCTCCAAGTACAACACATGCGTCAAAGTATGACCTAGTAATCGTTTGCCCCGTCGATTGGTCCCTTGCCGTTATCCTTATTCAATGGGTGCTGCAAAGAAATATTTTACAGTGTCAGGTGTATAATATAAATAAATATAAAGGGGTTGCAAGGGGTGGAAATGTAATTATCCGAAAATGTTAGGGCTGATTTCATAATTACAGTAAAATGGGAGGAAATAATGGGTGGTGTAAACAATATTTTTAATATTGTCAGGTGTATAATATAATAATAAAAAGGGCTTGCAAGGGATGGAAATGTAATTATAGAAAAATGTTAGGGCTGATTTTGTAATTAAAAGTGAATGGGAGAGGAAAAGAATGGGTGCAACAAGCAATATTGTAAAAAATACTGGGGTAATATAATATTAAAAAGGGATTATGAGGGGTGGAAATGTAATTATCCGAAAATGTTAGGGCTGATTTTATAGTTACAGGAAAATGAAAGAAAATAATGGGTGCAGTTGGCAATAATTTAAAATTTTCAGATGTATAAACTAATAATAAAAATACCTTCCAAGGGGTGGTAATGTAATTAACCAAATTATCCCACCCAATCCTCCCAACCATTCCTGAGATTGGCTCATTCGGATTCAATCCTACAGTTCCATATCCAACCAACCAAACCCGAGATACCATCCATACTTCACTTATCCATACAGTGTCATTTTCCAATTAAGCCCTAATCCCATCCCACCCCATCCCTCCAACCAAAAGGGGCCTTAATGGATAATTTATAATCCATTTATAATATTTAGCATCTTGTTTGAAAGAAAGAAAATAATTATATAAAATAACAAAAGACAGATGGCATCTTACTAAAATACTTAACTTCGAATCGATGTTGTATTGATATTTTTCTTTTGGCGGCGGTTATATGCAAGCCCATTTTTTTATTAGTTCAAAATCTCATAAAGAAGTTTATTAGTTCAAGCCCGTAAATTAATCTAATTTTATTACATCAAGACTAAAGATGACAAATATACCCTTATCCACAAATAATATTCAAATACAAATAAATCTTATTTTTAATTTGTTCAAGACCAAAAATCAAAAAAAAACAAAAAAAACAAAAAACAAAAAACAAAAAAAGAAATATCACAACTGCCAAATATTAATCTATGCTAAATATGTATGAATGAACATTAATTTATGCTTATTTCTTGTTGGGTTGCAATGATTTGGCCGATTTTGGAAAAAAAATGAGATTGAAATTTGTTCTTTTTATTTTTTTTCGTTGGTTTCCGAAATCGGTTTATCCATACCGATTTTGTACACGAAAATCGGCGTTATAATACCGATTTTTGTTAACCAAATCGGCGACACAACGTCGACTTTACAAGTCAAAATCGGCGTTCTAATGTCGATTATTGTGTACAAAATCGGTTTTTGAATACCGATAGTTTTTGAATGTTTTTTTAAATAATACATTATACATTTGGTTAATTGATATTGTTTAAATATTTGAAACGAAAATGTTTATCACCATTCGGTGGCGTCTCTACCACTCCTTTAACCCAATTGAGTAGAGCTTTCCGTATCTCAAATATTTATTCGTTAGATAATTCATTTGAATAATCCTCCATCAATCCCCTAGGTTGATGCACGAAAGTATGAGAAAACGGTCTTGAAAAAACACAGATAAACAAATCGGTGTTGCCATGCCGATTTTTACTACAAAAATTGGTTTTTAAGTACCGATTTTTATTAAAATAATCGGAATGTGGTTACCGACTTTAGTAACAAAAATCGGTATTTGCAGACCGAATTTGGTATTGTCGAATTTTTTTCCCAAAAAAAAAATGACCCAAAAGCAAAAATAAACGGTTAAAACATATTTCATTGTGTTCTCCACCCCCGTAAACCACCATATCATTGTTTTTCTGGTTCCATCGTGAATGTTTGGTATGTATTTGATAATTTTGGTGTGTAGGATTTCTTTGTGGGTTTGTGAAGAAGGAGAAGAAGAAGGAGATCAGTTTTAAGTCGTGAAATAAGGAAGAGGGGTTCCTGGATTTATGTATTTTATTTGGTCTTGCGCAAAGAAAATGATTTTTTTTTTTTTTTGTAATGTTTTGTGTTTTTTATTTGATTTTAAATTTCATTAAGGGTAAATTAATATTTTTATGTTGGAGGTCTTGAACTAATAAAAAACTGGGCTTGCATATAACCGCCGTCTTTTCTTTTTTCTTTTTGCAAAAAATATATCTCTTATGCGGTTATGCCTATCCAAAACCCTTTTTATAGTCGTTAAATATATTTTATAAATAAATATAACAATTTTAGTAAAATTGTTATTATTTATAATTCGTTATGAGAGCGTTTATAATTTTATATCATCTTTAAATATAATAAAAGTGTGTGGTAAAGTAATATTTATTTTATTGATCAATCAAATCAAATTAAAAATGAGATGTTAAATATAACTCCAACTTGTTTTTTCGAAAAAAAAAGTCACCATTTGGAACTGATATCAACAATTTTAAAACCAAGTCAATTAATACAATTCTGCTCTTTTCTAACAAAAAAATAAGTTTTATTAGACCAGGTACTATCTTTTGATTACATCTAATTATCTCAATTTAGTCATTAATTAGGGTAAATAGCATTGGTTTGCTTATTTTGCAGATGACGCCTATATGGTCTTCAAGTAGTTGTGATCGTAAATTCTATTAACAGCAGTCTAAATTGACTATATTACCCTCATGTTTTTCTTTCAATTACACTCATACCATGTGGGGTTCTTTGCAACTAAGTTAGAAGGTGTTTGGCTAAGCTTATTTTAAACAGCTGATAAGCTCTTACGTCTGATAAGATGTTTTAAGAGCTGATAAGCTGTTACATCTTATTTTTAGGATTAATTTTTAAAGTGTTTGGATAATGAGGTTATTTCCTTTTTTTACTCATTATAAGATCTTAAATAAAAATGTGGGGTTGAGGTATTTTTTTTTAAAAGATCTTACTTGCTCTCCAACAACTTATTCTAAAAAAATCAAGATCTTTTTTTTTTTTAAATACCAAACACTTTGAAAGAGCTTATAAACTCTAAAACATCATATAATTTACTTTTAACATTTTATAAGATTAGCCAAACACCCTCTTAATCTCTTTATCATTTTGAGTATTAAATTTTATGTATAAAAAATTAACATGGGTACTTTGCCTCCTATTGAAGAATCCTATTGTCCTAAAAAGGGCTCAAGAAGAACAATACGAGCAAATAGGTAGAGAAAGGCTACTAAACGAACACTGAGATTATATCCATCAGGGCCCGGGAGTTCACTGAAGATCGCATTGTCGGAAGCTACCATGTTACAAAAGACACAGCTTTTAGTAAACTAGTGGAAGTTGACGTGTCGAACAATTGTCCGACTAATTTGAACAAAAATGTCAGGTTCAAACAATATCGGGAAAAAACAATTGGTCGGGCATAAGGTGGAAATCAGAGGGAAACTGCCAAGGAAAGAACTCGTTCAACCAAGTCTACTCCCATTCATCAATTTTAAGCGTCCAGAGGCTTTTAAAAGGATAGCTAAAGAACAGTAGAATAATATATGACAGATAAAAGCAGGGTGAAAGCATTGAAAGTTTTACTAAATGAAACATAGTACCAGCTTTCTGTTATGGATCACATGGGGAAAAAATAAAAAGCAACATAACAGATATTCCAAAAACATCGAAAATATAGGCAACGGCACAAAATTGAAAAATAATTCATCCTTAGTGGGTGTGTGTGTCGGTGGCGGTGTGGGTGTGGGTGTGGCCCTCCTCTGCCGCAGCTTCAAACGTCTCTCCAGCTACAAGTTCCGGCACATCATCATCATCTTCGTCACCGGGAGCTGCGACACCGCCAGCGGCAGGTGCCTGCTTCTGGAACTGCTCTGCCAATTTCTTCAAATTCTCCAAGTTATCTGGGCCTGTAACAAAATGTTTCAGTTGTACCATTTTTATAAGGCTTTTCCACGACAATGAACAAACGAAATACAAAATGACTGGTAGAGCTACAACTACTTACCCAATTGGTGAATTATTTGAGGGAGAATGTCTTGCAATTCTGAAACAACAGACCAGATAAAATGTCAACTTTATTTGGAAAAAGAACCGAATACGAATAGAAAAGGACGGACTTCATTCAAGAAAGTTAAATGCCCAAATGCAAAAGAAATCATGAAAAAGGAAACCCAATTTGCATTCTAATCTGAAGTTAACAAAAAGGGTTTATGCCCTATAGCAACAAAAAGTGTTCAGATTTTCGTAAGGGTATGGGGAAAGCAAAACTTACTCTTGTTCTGAGGAGTACCACTAACAACCCAAGTGTTGGCAGCAATAGATGCTTGAACTGAAACGAAAAAAAAGAAAAAAATTTAAAGTCAAACAAAATAAGTTTAAAGTTTAAAGCTTTGCAAAAATTCAAAATTAGAGTTGCATAGTTCAAACCTTTGGGGTTAACGAACTGGATAACAACATCCTCCTTGAAAATATTGACTTCCTCAATTGCAGGAATGGCGTTCACTCCTATTCTCTTCAAGGTGCTCTGAAGCCTTTTGTCATCTGTGGTGGTTGTCTTGTGTACGGCTTTCTTCTTTCTACATTCCACAAGACAACAAATAAATAATGTAGTATCAAATATTTTCTACATCCACTTTTTTCATAAGGAAAATATTAACAAGATTCGATGTACTGTAAAAAAAAACAAACCTTCTCACGGTACCCTTACCACCAGTTCGGACCGAACCGGCCATCTTCTGTAGCTTTTCAACATTCATCTGTAATCAAACAGCACCGAAACTCTTCAGAAATTTCTAATACATATTGGAAAAAAAAAGTAATCTTTAATATAGTAATTGTTGTTTTCTCCAGAAATGAACATGTAGTAATACTCATTACACATAGCCCATGAAATAATTTTTTTATTAATTGCTAATGACGCCCTTAGGTATAAGAACTATATTATGAGGGTAAATGGCTACAAAACAATTTACCATCCTTGCAATTTAAAACGAATCTACGGATAAAGAAGTTGGCATCGCCACCTAAGACCAGACCAGCCTCGATAAAATACACTAAAATAAAAGGAATAATAACCCATGGTCTTACAATTAGAAAAGTAATACAAATCAAAGGAAAATGGACGCCCATTTGTTCACAAAATTATAGAAAATAATTTTCGTGCAAATAAAATCTGCCAAGACATTTTTTTTGGGATTAAATCAGCAATCCAATTTCTCTAAACCATAAATCAATCTAAACGATGAACAACGCCATTAAAAGTTGAAAATAAAAACCTAAATCTCGAAACAGCGGACTTTTCCTCCAAAAAAAAAACAATTAAGACAATTTATCCATTCAAAAAACAAGATCGAACATCAACCAGGAAGTTAAATGAAGCTAGACTCCTCTATCAAAAACATATAAATGCATTAAAAAAATCCCCAAATAATTACCAAAAAAATGTAAAATTGAATGCAAGAAAAAACGCAAGGTGTAGAAAAATGGAGAGAGAGAGAGGTAAGCGTACCGCCGCGACCAGAGCGGTGGAGAGAAGCGGAGGCTAATCGAGAGAGAACACACAGACGAGTTCGAGTGAGAAGTAACACAACGCAGTGGATAACGAAATGAAACCCTAGTCGCGTTTTTTATATGGTAGGCATACAAAATGAAGGGTATTTTGGGTATTTCGAAGTGTATTTTGGGGTATTTTGGTCCAGATATTTTCTCTCTCTGATGTGGGTCGGGTTTATTTGTTACCGGATGGCCGATAAGCCAATTCAGCGCATAGGCTGGGCTCCAAGGGAAAAATGGGAGCCCATAAAAGGGAGATTTAATTTGGCTGTGATTTTTGTTCAAGTCTCTTTGAATTTTTTAAAATATAGTTGATTAATTTAATTATTAATCAAGTGAAAGTCACAATAAAGTATTTGAGTAGCTTAAATGTTTGCTACATTTGTTTCTTTTAATTTATCAAATTGAACTTGAGCCTGATTTTATGTATTATCAAATAAAAACTAGTCTATATTTAATTTATTATGTTATGGAATGAACCAATTAGGTTCGGGTTGATCCTATGAAACCTCTTCAACGCTCAAACTAGTCATGTAGTTAAGCAGTAAACCAGGAATTTAAAGAGAGTTTTTAAGTATTGAATAATTGAGTACATAAATGAGTTTGACGCATATTTATTATTTATATAATTATTTTTAAAGAATTTGCTAACCCCGCGTTTTTTATGGAGGATGTAAACAACAAGATGTAGATCAATGTTGGTGAGCATGAATTTGCTAACCGATCTAACGTACAAGGGATTAAATTTCAAACTTTTACGAGAAGACGGAATTGAAGCCCCACCCTACGGTCCGGCTCATGCGGCTGAAACAACATCACTTCATGTTCTCTACCATTGAGGAGTAAACTGCAAAAAGTACTCCTGTGTAATCTTCAAATAGCAAAAATCCCACTGTGATAAATAAACTAGCAAAAATTCCCCTGTGAAATTTAGTCAAAGGCAAAAACCCCCCTGATTAACTTAAGTGTGGCTCACTCGCGGGTTGCGCGACTGGTAGTAGGTTTTTGGACGTGAAATGACGAAATTGCCCCTTAAATGTATTTATATGTATATATATTATATGTATATATATTTTCCTTTTAATTTGATTGTTTAGAAATTAAAATATTGTTAAAAAATAGTAAATAATTAATTTAAAAATTTGTTAATCAAATTAACTATAGATTTTTTAAATATATAATAACGGAATTTAATTTTTTTTTAATATATAATAACGGAATTTAAATTTTCTTTTGATGTAGCGATAATTTAAAAATTCCGGGGGTATTTGTGTCTTTTTATATGAAGTCAACACTCAAATGATAAATGGGCCGAGTGTGCTATTTTAATAATTTCACAGAGGGATTTTTGCTAGTTTATTTATCATAGGGGGGTTTTTGCTATTTAGAGATTACACAGGGGTACTTTTTGCAGTTTACTCACCATTGAGCTATGGCCATGGACACATAGTCATAAAAAGAAATCAATTGAATTAGAATCAATAACATATGTAACCAATCTTTATGTGCGTTAAAAAAATACATCATAAGCGCCATATACACAGGAAAGGATTTGAATCCACCAAAAATACACCCAGTGTAAATAACCAGATATAGCATCTAATTTCTCGTTGTAGATTAATTCAGTACACCTTGTGTTTGTGACCTACACTTGTTTATCGCCCTTGCTACCCGGCCCAAATGAATGAATTAAAATTACTTGAGCCAGTGAACAATGCTAGTAATGAATGAATTGACATTAGAAGATCCAACAAACCATCGGAGCTGAAACATGGTATCTAACTACAGGCATTTTCTTATTTAATGTTTACCTATACATGAAATATTTTTTTGTTTAATTTGCTGTGAAAAATCAAATTAGTGTCTCTTAATAGTACATGCACGTGGTAATCAGCCTCAATTCTATTTATTGTTTGTTTTAAAACTTGTAGGTTCCATAAATCATTTTGACCATCTTTTGTATATGCTTTATTTTCAAAAATTATGTAGCCCAATTAGCGAAATACTAATTGCTTCCATCAATTTTCAATAGCACATTTTCACATCCTCTCTTCAAGTGCAATAATGTTTTTATAATTTATTTCGTGCGGATATTAATTATTTGTGTTAGATTCAGTTTTTTGTTACTGTTGCGTGAAGTGTTGCAACCGTTTGTGAAACAGTTCGTAAAAACAGAAATAAACGAGACATAAATTTAATGTGGTTCAGATACAAATTGTACCCTACATTATCCACGGGGGCCTAGTAAATGTCCGTCTTTGTTGACGCCGTTTATGTATACTACGCTGAATTATAAATCTTCAATTTGCAGCACGTCATTTGCTCTGCACGGTTGAACTCCCTTCAACGCTGAATCCCTCAGTCGGCGGATCGATAATCACGTATCACAATGGAGCAATAAAAACGAGAGGAAAAAATATTTTCTCTGTAAAACTTCTCTCGATAAAAAGTCGCCGGAAGAGCAACAAAGGAAGGAGAAATATTTTTCTCTCCAAAAGGCACCAGCTGAAACGGCCGTGCTGTGCTGCTATTTATATTCTATGAAAAATAAAAGTCCTATAAAAAAACAAAGCCCATTAGGGTTAGAATTATTTAAACACGTAAAAGCATGTATTTGAGAATAAAGGAAACTCTTTTTAAGAATAAAGATAATTTCCTATAAAAATCAATTAATGACAAATCAAAGGAATTACAAGTTACAAGGACTCTTCCCTTCTTTAGCTCACGGCATATGCAAACTTGTGGCACAAGTTTTATTTAATTCTGGTATAATTAGAATCCAAGGGATTCTAACAATCTCCCCCTTTGCCGTTTATTGATTGTAACCATTTTCTCCACATGAGTAAAAAACGTGAAAATAAAACAATCAGATGATAGACGGAAGCAATAAAGCTAAGGATCATCCTCAGCATTAAATGAACAGCTCATCATCATCATCTCTTTCACCAACAAGAGTGGCATCAACTGCTGCAATAGTAAGTGCCACAATTTCAGCAATTGTTCCCACAATAGTGGCTTCGGTAGGTGGTTCTCAACGGAGTCAGCTCCCCCTGCATGTGTTTCTCCCCCTGTAAATGATCCTTAGGCAGCTCTTCTTGTAAATGACTTCATTCTTCCCCTTTGCTTACTTGGCTTGGTAGACTTGGAGGGCGACGTGGTAAATCATCCATGTGATAAAAGACTCAGCAAATAACGTCAGCTCCTCCTTTTATATATTATTGTGAAGACCTAAACCAATTAATGACAATAAACACAATATTAAAAATGTGAAATTCCTTCTATTTTGGAGATACACGTTCAGGTGATTAATATCGAGAGATAATTTATTTCTTCTCAAATTATCTAATGAGATAACTAAGAAAAATATGTTTCTCATATTAATACACATCTCCATAGAATTCCACTTGATGTTGTGGACTTAGAATCCCACCGAGATTCTGACAAATGTTACATACAATTTTATGCCTCTTCCGTTATTAGTTGGCTCAAAGAGATGTAGAATCATTGGATTCGAGAGAAACCGAAACTCTACTCCAGAGGCTTATACTTATAGGGCGCACGCACGTGAAGAGATGTACCGGGGCCGGAGAGTTCTACCTCGGTTGAGATTGGAAAATAATGGAGTTTCTAGGAAATATAACAATTGACTAGGAATATGAATATATGGCATTTGGTGACAACATAGAGAAATAGAGAAAAAAAAAAACGTAAGTAAATAGGAGCATAGTTGTCCAAGTGAAAGAAGACTCAATAGGGGGACTGCATTGTTAGTTTATTGAAAGGGAGGTGATATTTTTTGTTTCGATTTTATAGGGAATTTTATTATTCAGAATTATTTTTTTTGAAAGTTTTATTCATAAATTATATGTTTCTAGAATTGAAGAGGTCTTTTTTTGGGCGTAATTCTACTATTTCATGCTCAAAACAGGCGTGATATACCATACTTCGTGACCAAAATGGGGTGCAAAATAGATTGTTCATGCCCATCATGGGCGTGTGGGAAGATTGAAAGAGAGACGGAGAAAAACGAAACAATAATCATAAAAATGGAAGGGCCTCAGTTATTGAAATATTTATGTGCAAATCTCCCTTGGCTTAAAACTAGCTTGTCAATATTGGTCAAAAAAAAAAAATGTAATAGATACATATATGAGTTATCTAACGAAATTATTAAATGCTTGATTTGATTTAAGTTTTTAATCAATTTGGTATGAAGTCACAACGCGTCAATGACTATTTCGAAACGTAAGGACGGAGTTGTACAAAAGTGACATCTTTTGAAACTTCTATCGAATCTGGTCTGTTCAAAATCCGATGACTCGTTGAAATTATTTGGGTCGAGTCGAGTTGAAATTAATTGGAAATTGAGTCGAGATTGAGTCAAAATGTAAGCCTAAATAATCTGTGAGTCGATTATGCTTTAAAACCCCAATTCACCTTTGATTGAATAAATAATATACAAATATTTAGTAACTTTAATATTTGACACATATTTATTGTCATTTGCTTTATACAAATTAATATCATAGTTGAAAAAAAATAACTTTAGCTAATGAACGAGAATTTGACAATGAACTCGTAAATTGAAGTTCTTTTTAATTTAAACTAATTTTAAAGAGTTCAATTCTTTTTTTAATATATTAAATATTTTTTTCTTGAATCATTTCATATACTGTTATACTCTAATTTGTTAGGGAGTATAACTTCTTTAGATGTTCATAAATATTTTAGATTTTAGTAAATTTTATCTAATCCATATGACTTGACTTTTCATTCCAAATATTATTCAACATGCTACATTGTAAACTGCATGCATGAAATTTATACTTAAAACTAGTCGATTTATAGAAAGATGTTTAATAAAGTAATATGCAAGTCTACAATAACTTAAATTTATTAGAACTACAAGTTCAATTTAAACTCGATATAAATTCGGAGCTCGAAAATATGTAAGGTTAGTTTGTTCATATAACTATCAATTACACGAGTTTGAATTTCAGTCATGAAATTCGATGGTATATTATATATATATATATTTTAATTTGAACCAATAAAAACTTGAGTTATATTGTATGGTTGCCACCATAGGCAGCAATTATAACAATTTTATTATTTGGTAAATTGATCCATAAAAGAGATTTGTACAAGTTTAAATAAACTCCTAAAGGAAAAATGTACATTTTTGACCTTGTTGAAGGGAGGGAGAAAGATGAAGAACGAGGTCCGTACATCTTCCTAACTGCCCATGCGCAGAATCCTCAACTTCTGCCACGTGTCCCTGATGGACCACCTCTCCCGTTTAAATACTCCCTCCCTTCATTCTCCCTCTCCGTTTAGCCCCGCGCTAACGATAGTTAGCACCTCCCTTTCATTTTCTCTCTCTAGACATACATTCCCGTTCCGTTCGACATTCACACACACTACAACACACACACAGACACGCACACCACTATCTCTGTAAGCTCCCTTCGATCGTAAGCTTTTTCGTTCGGATTTCATTTCACGAATGTTGTATTGTATTTTCTGGAATTGCGTTCGTCAATTTTAATCAATTTTTTTTTTTTTTGTTTTTGCTGGCTGTGTTTTGGGCGGCGGTGCATGGCGGCGGTCGATCGATCAGAAAAAAAAAGGGGGAGGCTAAATAGTGCGAGCGAGAGAGAGCTGCGGCTCCTCTGAGCTTTCGAGGGCTTTGGTCGTCGCGGTCCTCGATAGAGCGAAATCATACAAGATGACGGCCAACGGGAACCACGAGCAGCCGTCTCTGACGCGGCGGGCCTCGCGCAGCGCCGCCACCACCTTCTCCATGGAGGTATTTGACAATGAGGTCGTGCCTTCCTCCCTGCAGTCGATTGCCCCCATTCTCCGCGTCGCCGCCGAGATCCAGAATGAACGCCCCCGTGTTGCCTACCTCTGTACGTCCCCTTCATCGTCAAATTACTTTCCCCCTTTTTTTTTTTTTTTTTTTTTTTTTTTTTCATTTTGCACAAATATCATTGCTATATTTATACAGCTGTTATCGTGTTGGAGATTTAATTTGTATCTAAACATCTAGTTAAGAGCACTGTTAATTATTATAATCAATTATATATTTTCTGTTCATGTTAATCTTTCCTTATAAGTTCTCATAATTTTTTGGTAAATGTCTTTAATTCCTTTGGATGGTGATGATATGATTTATTTTTATAGGTCGATTTTATGCGTTTGAGAAGGCGCACAGGTTGGACCCTAATTCGAGTGGACGTGGTGTGCGACAGTTTAAAACTAGTCTACACCAACGATTAGAAAGGGTACATTTATGTTTTGTTAACTTTAGTATATATCTATGATATGCTGTTTGGATATATGTTTTATACTAATAATAGGGGAAATATAGGATCAATATTTTTAACATCGTATGCATTTGACAAGCTATTTCATCTAGAAAAATGTATATATTGATACATTGTACAATAGTAGAACCCCTGTATATGACACCATAACAGAAAAGAGTTGCTTCTGGAAGCCTAGTATGTTTCTGAAATTTCTTAATCCATTTTAATGGTCTTGTTGTTTGGTGGCTTAATAATTTCATACTTATTTTTGGGCAGCGAGTGAGGTAATAGCACTCACATACAGGAGTAAGAGCCAAAACTTGTTCCGAGAGTTCTTTAGTTGATGGTTGGAATATATATATTTGAATCAGATGAAAAGCAATTAAGAAATTTATAATAGAGCAAAATATTTAATTTCGTATCATTTATTTGTATATAATACAATTTTAGATAAGCTATGCATTCTGGTGCAGGGAGGTTTTTCTCCCCTTTGCTTCTTTTATTTTTATAGCCCTTTCAGTTCCTGGGGAGCACCCAAATAATGGATGTTAGAACCATGAAGATTTTTGATCGATGGTTTGTTGGTAAATTTGTATTCAGGACAATGCATCAACTCTTGCTCACCGGGTCAAGAAGACGGATGCTCGAGAAATTGAGAGCTTCTATAAGCAATATTATGAGCACTATGTTTTGGCCCTTAACAAGGGGGAGCAAGCTGATAGGTGCTGTTAACAGACTTCTTTTTAAAATGGTATTAGTATTTGATAATTCCAAGCTGATAAAAATTTATACTGACTTTGTGGCAGAGCTCAGCTTGGAAAAGCTTATCAGACTGCCGGCGTGCTGTTTGAAGTGCTTTGTGCTGTTAATAAGACAGAAAAAGTTGAGGAAGTAGCTCCTGAGGTTAGTTTCTATACAACTTTACGAGTGTTTGTCATTATTATTAAGTTTATAATTAAGTTTAGATACAGCCACCTTTCTTGCGTTTGAGGGAGGAAATTGATGTCCTAGAATATAACTTATGTTGTTTTTTACAGATTATGGCTGCTGCAAACGATGTCCAGGCAAAGAAAGAAATTTATGCTCCATATAACATTCTTCCACTGGATTCAGCCGGGGCTTCACAGTCCATCATGCAACTCGAAGAGGTGATCCATTTGCACCACGGGGCACTGATATATGTGCATGTTAGACGACAGACGTGCATGCTTAATAATACATTCCAAGTCGTAAGTAATAAGGTGTTTCTTTGATGATATCAGGTGAAAGCTGCTGTGACTGCTTTACAGAATACTCGTGGCTTAGCATGGCCCGCGTCATTTGAGCAAAATCGCCAAAAAGCTGGAGATTTGGACCTGCTTGACTGGCTGAGAGCCATGTTTGGGTTTCAGGCATGTCATACGAAATTGTTGAACCAGAGAATGAAATAATCAGTTAACTTTTAAAGATGAGGATATTTAGTGATTGAGTTATTTTGATATCTACAGAGGGACAATGTCAGGAATCAAAGGGAGCATTTGATATTGCTGCTTGCAAATATTCATATAAGGCTAATCCCCAAGCCCGAACCGCAAAACATAGTATGCATGCCCTTTTTGTTTCCTCTTTTAAGTATTGAAACCTTACTGTTTTCTCGTCTCTTTACGATAAATCCTATGGAGCATCTGGCATCTAATGCATTAGCCACAGTGATGGGTTCACTTTGTAAATCATTACTAAAAATCACATAGGCATTGCTGCAAATCTACTTTTAGCTGCATGCTTCCTTTCATGACAAACCTTTGATTTTCATCACTTATATATTATTTAATATGCTGGACCTCATCTTTGTTTGTAACTCATACTACACACATTAGTGCACGAGTTTATTTATTTTCAGGGAGAGTAACTAAAGGCACACTATTTTTGCTTAGCTTGATCATCGAGCTGTTGATGCACTCGTGAATAAGATTTTCAAGAACTACAAGACATGGTGCAAATACTTGGGAAGAAAACACAGCTTAAGGTGAAATGATATATTTCTGCAGTAAACCTCAGCTATTGTGACATTTCTTTTTTCATGAGCCAAGTCGACTGATCTGGTGTTTTTTTTTTTAATTTTCTTTATTTAATGTTACCTGCTTTTAGGCTTCCGAAGGGTGAGGTGGACGTGCAACAGAGAAAGATACTTTATATGGGCCTTTATCTTCTTATATGGGGTGAAGCAGCTAACGTTCGCTTCATGCCAGAGTGCTTATGTTACATATTCCACAATGTGAGTATTTGTCTTGTTCAACAAATTAGGATTTGTGTGAAATAGTTACCCTGACATGCATGTAAATACAAGAGCAATATTGTTAAATATATGAGCGCATGTTCAGATGGCATATGAACTCCATGGACTCTTAGCTGGAAATGTCAGTATTGTCACGGGAGAAAACATCAAGCCTTCTTATGGTGGAGATGAAGAATCTTTCCTAAGGAAGGTTATCACGCCCATCTATCGAGTAATTGAAAAGGTAATTTCTTGCTCAGATAAAAGGCATAGTAACCGAGTGTTTGTCTTCAAAATAACAAAATGGAGTGCTTATCTTGCTCCAGGAGTCCAAGAAAGGAAAGAATGGAAAAGCCCCCCATACAGCCTGGTGTAACTACGACGATTTGAATGAATATTTCTGGTAAAGAGTTAATTTGTAAGTAAATGTTCGTTGTTGCGATCGACTTAATTCTGTGCAAGTATGATTCGGTGAACTATTATAGGTCATCAGATTGCTTCCAATTGGGCTGGCCAATGAGTGATGATGGTGAGTTTTTCAAATCAACAAGAGATGTAACACAGGTAAATGATGCTGGTTTTCTGGAATGAACTTGTCGGGTGAACTCAGATGTTCCTTGTCTGATTAGCATGACTGTTTTTTTCAGGGGAAACGTGCTCAGAAGAAGCCTGGAACGCTGGGAAAATCATTCTTTGCGGAAACTCGGACGTTTTGGCACATTTTCCGAAGTTTTGATCGTCTATGGACATTTCTCATTCTTGCTCTACAGGTACTTAAAAAAACAATGAAAAACGAAAAAACCCAGTGGAAGTGGTAATGCTTGTGCTAAATGTTCGTTTGTTCAACTGCAGGTTATGATAATCCTTGCATGGAGTAATGTTTCCATATTCGATGTCTTCCAGAAGGATACCTTATACAAGTTGTCTAGCATTTTTATCACTGCATCCTTTCTTCGCCTCCTTCAAAGTATGTAATTTATATTTTTTATATCGTAGGACAATCTTCAGGTGTTGTTTGTTTTTGTCAACTGTAGTTTCATCTTTTGAAATTACCATACACTCTTTTCCTGAACAAGTTAATTTCGATTAAGTTTTAGGCCTTCACTTTTGGTGCTTATTTGATTGAAACATCAATTTTTGAAACTCCTATAGGTATTTTGGACCTTGTTCTGAACCCCCCAGGGTATCTCAGATGGAAGTTCACTACGGTTTTGAGAAATGTTCTGAAGATAATTGTCAGCCTCGCCTGGTCCATCACCCTTCCCCTGTGCTATTTGATCCATACAAAATCATTTTCATTTTCCCAAATAAAAAATGTGCTTGTGTTCCTGGATAAACTCAAGGGTGTGCCTCCGTTGTACATCATGGCGGTAGCTCTATATCTGCTACCAAATTTATTGGCTGCAGTCTTATTTGTTTTCCCAATGCTCCGCCGCTGGATTGAGAACTCCGATTGGCTTATTATTAGATTTCTCCTATGGTGGTCACAGGTATATCTGTTACTGTCTCGTTCTTTTTTACTCTTAACCAAGCACTCGCTCATGCTTATGTTGAAATCAACTAATATGTGCCGTAATATCTGTATCATTCTGATGGCTGTCATTAACAAGAAATATGAGATTAATCTTTGACGATCAGTTTCATCAATGTACGGCTTTTTCCAACAATATTTATTTAACTAAAGTACATGCTGGATAAAAACTAAGATTCTGCAGCGCTTCTCATTATCCAATATCAGAAATGCATCAATATTTTATATAGGCAAGAACCAATGGCCATTCATTATGTACTCTAATGCATGTACATTTTAGTGGGCAAGTAGATGCTCTAAATCTTGATTGTTTAACTTCTGATGAAGACTATATACCTCTTTGGTTTAATTATCCATTATTTTATTTTGCTTTGCTAGCCATTTTCTGATAAGTTGCCTATATGATCATTTTATTTTATGATTTGTGTGATGGCATATTTCAATAAAAACTAAGTTAAAATTATTGTCAACTGAAGTCAGTAAATCAGAACTAGGCTGTACAGTTTTCCCCAGCAGCAGTATGAAGTATTAACTGTTTGTCTAATCACAAAGCAATGTACTGCTGTTCTTCAGCATTGCAGTTTGTTGATCTAAACTTTGTTGGACTACTGTAACAAATTGGTTTTGTTGACTTATCAATTATATTGTCAGAAAAGTGAAAACGAAATTTAAGAACATTAAACACTGTATACCATCACATTTTTTCTTTTGGACAATAAAGTAATGATTTTAAAAGTTTTATGGATGTGGTTGAGTACTTGTCTTTTATAATTATTTTTTGAAGCAACATTTGTTTTGTGCTTCCATGGAAAGAAAATGAAAGTCTTATTCTAAACGTTCTCTTTACAATAATCCAGCGCCCAAATAAGCATTAAGAACTGTAGAAATAACTTTTGTTTATGACTCTATTTCACAGTCACACTTGTCTTTCTATCCTGCAGCATTCTTTATACTGTTATATGTATCTATCAGTTTCTTGAGTATTAGTATATGATGTATCTGTAAAAAAATAACTTATAATTTTGCAGCCAAGAATCTATGTGGGAAGGGGAATGCATGAAAGCCAGTTTTCACTTATCAGGTATATAGAAGTTCCCTATTCATTAAATATGTTTGTTTACATGTCCTAGACTGACTCTGGTTTTTATGTTGTAATTGGTAACAGATACACTCTGTTCTGGGTGCTGCTTCTATGTTCAAAATTTGCTTTTAGCTATTTTTTGATGGTAGATTCACATCCTTCATCAATTCAATTTAATACAAGATATTGGGAGCAGTTTTTTTCCTTACTGTAGTGTCTGGTTTGGTTCAGATAAAACCTATGGTTGAGCCCACAAAAGATATAATGAACATTCACCACGTTGATTATGCTTGGCACGAATTCTTCCCGCATGGTATGTATTTAGATGTGCTGAATTTCTTTTTTCCCCGAATCATCTACTGGACTTTACACATTCGAATAATTGCAAATGCAGCTAAGCACAATTATGGAGCTGTCGCTGCAATATGGGCACCGGTTATCTTGGTGCGCTTTCTTATCATTAGCGTTTTTATAAAATAGTATGATTCCGTAAGCCGTTTTTCATTGTTATGATGATTCTCGTACAGGTTTACTTCTTGGATCTCCAGATTTGGTATGCTATATTCTCCACCATGTATGGAGGTTTTACTGGGGCTTTCGATCGTCTCGGTGAGGTACGATTGCTAGTAAATTCAATTGGCTAAATAATTATTTGGATTTCCAATCAATAATGTTGGAGCTAACTCATTATCTCCTTATATTCATACTTAAATGGAAACTTTATTTTCTTCTGACTAAATTAAAAAATATGGGATATTGTGACGGGTAAAGATAAGTTCTAGGCCGTTACACAGATACAACTTGTTAATTGACCTAAGCCAGCACCTTCAGTTTCAGTTGTTTCTTGTAGTAGCAGGAGTTATTGTGAACTACTTTCTAAAATTTCCTTTTTCTTGTCAATTTGATGTATGGCAGTAAAATATGCACCATATACTTGTAGGATCAATCTGATAGCACCATCATCATATTTAGTTAACTATAACTTACACATATCTTCAATTTAGTTTTTGTTCTATGCTCACTTATCCATTTGGTCGTCACAGATTCGGACCCTTGGAATGCTGAGGTCACGTTTTCAGTCTTTACCTGGTGCATTCAACACTTACTTGGTCCCTTCTGAGAAAACAAGGAAAAGAGGGTTTTCTCTTTCAAATAACTTGCAAAAGGTTCCTCACCCTCTAGCATTTCATATATTTCATGTTCCCAAGAAATGGCATTTCTAAACTTCATATTTCCTGCCATCTGTAGGAGACTGCAAGTAGAAGAAGTGAAGCTGCCAGATTCGCGCAGTTGTGGAATGATGTAATATGTAGCTTTCGTGAAGAAGATCTCATAAGTGACAGGAAAAGCCCCTAGAACTTAATCTTTTGTTTATATACTGTCCTCTCTTCCAATTTACCTGTTTGAATTCGTTTTATCACATAAAACTAAACTTGGATTGTTAACTTCAGGGAGATGGATCTGCTTCTTGTTCCTTACTCCTCCGATCCTAGCCTAAAAATAATTCAGTGGCCCCCTTTTTTGCTTGCTAGCAAGGTAAAATACAAAGAATTTTAGCTGTATGTTCTTCCCATATTCTTGTTTGACAATTCGCTTTTGCAGATTCCCATTGCACTAGATATGGCTGCTCAATTTCGATCCAAGGATGCTGACCTTTGGAAACGCATCTGTGCTGATGATTATATGAAATGTGCTGTCATTGAATGCTATGAATCATTTAAACATGTTCTGAATACCTTGATCATTGGAGAAACTGAGAAAAGGTTATTTTTATTCATCTCGTTCAGGAGATTAATTAGCTTTATGATATAATACTGTTTAGGCTTGTAAAGCACGAAATGAGTTCCTGCAGCCTGTTCCAATACTTCAATATGCACGGCATTAGAATAGCTATACGTATTTTAAGTTCTTAGTAAATATTCCAACTTCCAACACCATGTCATGTTTCTTTTTAGGATTTATGATGAAGTAGAATTAGTATTATCCCTAACATTTTCAAATGTTTTATTGTACGCAACTCTGAAGAATTATGTTGAGACTTGAATGAAGTATTAAACGCTTTGGGATTTTTTTTGTTGCATTCCATCCTAATGTCGCTTTGCTGGAACAGGATAATCGGAATCATCATTAAAGAAATTGAAAGTCATATATCAAAGAGTACATTCCTTGCAAATTTCAGAATGAAGCCTTTACCTGATCTGTGCAAGAAATTTGTGGAACTTGTGGAGATATTGGTAAGTCATTTGTGATCAATGTTTTAGTTTTTCTTCCGTGTTTCATAACTAAACCCTTCTTTGTACCTTGCAGAAAGAAGGTCAACCTTCCAAGAAAGATAGAGTTGTTCTGCTGCTGCAAGATATGTTAGAAGTAGTTACCCGTGACATGATGGTGAACGAGATCCGGTTGGTGGATAGTACAGTATTTAGTACTATTATGCTCTTTTTCCTAAACACATTTTTTCTTCTTATTTGGTGAAGCACTATGAATTTGTTCCCTCCTTTGAATGCAGTGAACTGGCTGAACTTGGTCAAGGTAGCAAGGATTCTGGAAATCAACTTTTTGCCAGTATTGTTTTCCCTCCCCCAAATACAGCACAATGGGAAGAGCAGGTATATGAAAATGAGTTCCCAACTTAATATCTGTAACATATAAACAAACTCATATATAGAAAGATCAAGCAGTGAATAAATGAAGCTCCATAGAAAGTTTAATGGGTGAATAATTGAAACACCACTGCATGTATTTGTTTGACAGATACGGCGCCTCTATCTGCTCCTTACTGTAAAAGAATCAGCAATTGAAGTGCCCACAAATCTCGAAGCACGTCGAAGGATAACATTTTTTGCCAATTCACTTTTTATGGATATGCCACGCGCACCTCGAGTGCGCAAAATGCTGTCATTCAGGTGCATCTACTTTCCATTCTTATCTTGTTAGGAGTTATTTACACCACTCCTTACCATTGAGAGGAGACTACTCTAAACTCCTTATATTATATTCTAGCTTACAATATTTAGTTTGTTTCATGATGAGTACCATAAGGCTTAGGTAGCATGAGATTTTGCATTTAGTAGCATAAACTTCGGTAAGAAGCATGGTTGAAACCTGGCTTTTAACTAACTTCATCACTGATTCTTCCAACGAGATTGAACTTCTCTTTTCAAATAAAATTTCATCAAGAAGCATTGAACTTATAAATAACCTGTTCGAATATAGTATATTGATTGTCATCTGCTATCAAGGCTGAATAGTGTTTCACGTTAATAACCATATCAATTGGCATGGCAGTGTATTTACTCCATATTACAGTGAGGAGACTGTCTATTCCAAGAGTGATCTTGAAATGGAAAATGAAGATGGTGTATCTATCATATATTATCTTCAAAAGATTTATCCAGGTCTGATTACTTCCAGTCGGAAATTACTTTGAGCTGAGCTATTTCATTATTATGTTATTGTCCATTGATATTCGTATACATATTTCATTCAGATGAATGGAACAATTTCATGGAGCGTCTAAATTGCAAAGAATCTGATATTTGGGAAAATGAAGAGAACATACTGCAACTACGCCATTGGGCCTCCTTGAGAGGACAGACTCTTAGCCGAACAGGTTTGTTGAGTCTCTCTTCACTCTCTATTTCTCCTCTTCTCTGTTTTCCCTCTAGAGCCTTCGTGTTGTTTGACAATATTTGCATGCCATGCAGTTAGAGGGATGATGTACTATAGAAGGGCCTTGAAGCTTCAGGCTTTTCTTGACATGGCTACAGAAGATGGTAAGGGAGAATTTTTCGAATTTACTAAGAATATGAACAGGATCTGATTGGACCTAAAGAACATCTGCATACTACTACCATTCCAATTTTGGACCAACTACATGCATAAAGTGGTGCAAGTAACTGTAAAATAATTTGAATCTATAAAATTTAGCTATACCTAACTATTTTGTAGAAAGGTGAAGAACTGTATACTTAATTTTATTATCACTGTTCAGCCAACGGCAAACCACTCGATGTGTCTATATCTAAATCTTTGTATTCATAGAAGCTAACTACTAAGTAATTATAAGAGAAACCCATGTTCATTTCTGACTGTTCTTGCGTACATTGAACAGAGATACTTGAAGGCTATAAAACTATTACCGAACCATCAGCAGAAGATAAGAAGAGTCAAAGATCTATGTATACTCAATTAGAGGCTGTAGCTGACATGAAATTTACATATGTCGCTACCTGCCAGAATTATGGGAATCAGAAAAGGAGTGGAGATCGACGTGCAACTGACATTTTAAATCTGATGGTGAAGTAAGTTTTACAATTTATCAATGTGAAAATTATGTTGTTCTTTAATCCTTATGCTAATCATGATCTCTTTCTATTTTGCCGCAGTAATCCATCTCTCCGTGTAGCCTATATAGATGAAGTTGAGGAAAGGGAAGGTGGGAAAAACCAGAAGGTGTATTATTCTGTATTGATTAAAGCGGTTGAGAATCTTGATCAGGTAAATGTTATCTTTTAGCTCTTAATGAATACTAAAAAGTTCGATTCAACTCCAAGACTGACTCAATATTCTTTCTTTATGAAGGAAATCTACCGTATAAAGCTTCCTGGGTCAGCAAAGATAGGAGAAGGGAAGCCTGAAAACCAAAACCATGCTATTATTTTTACGCGTGGGGAAGCTCTTCAGACCATTGATATGAACCAGGTAAATTTGATGAAATCTGTACTAGGATAATTATTTGGAAGAATTAGTCTAGCAAATTCACATAATTTCATGCTGCCTTTTTCTAGGATAATTATTTGGAAGAAGCTTTTAAGATGCGCAATCTACTTGAGGAATTTAATGAAGATCATGGGGTGAGACCACCTACAATCCTGGGTGTCCGCGAGCATATTTTCACTGGAAGGTTGGATATAGTTTTAACTTTCTGGCAGGTTGACACAACTTTCAGGTTTAGCTCTGATCTGTTATATTTTCATCTGCAGTGTGTCATCATTGGCTTGGTTTATGTCTAATCAAGAGACGAGCTTTGTCACCATTGGCCAAAGAGTTCTTGCTAGACCTTTGAAGTATGTTCTTTCTTTCTTTCCATCCTCTTGTTTCTGTACAGTGCATATGTTAAAACCGATATAGTTGTTTATCTTCTATAGTGTAGCTCTAATAATCTGCTGCTTGCATTGGCAGATGCCAGGATGAGTACAGCAAATATTGGAAATTTATGTTGTAAAAGCTTGGGTTTAACTAGATATGTATAGACTAATGACACCTCTTGGTTGTTGCTCTTTTGCTTAATACGTGGAAAACCCCTCGCTATTCTGCTATTATAGTTTGAACTGGACAGTGAATGATGTACATAAGCTAATGTTTGCATGGCGTAAAATCAAATTTCTTAGGCACTAATATACCAACTAATTGTTTGATGATTCATCCTGGTTGCTGCAATCATAGTTTTTACATGATCCCTTTTCCTCTGATTGATTTTATATAGGGTACGATTCCATTATGGGCACCCAGATGTTTTTGACAGAATTTTTCACGTAACCCGTGGAGGCATCAGCAAAGCTTCAAGGGGAATCAATCTTAGTGAGGATATATTTGCTGGTGAGATCTGAACCCATATTTTCCTAGCAAATATATACCTTCATTTTCCATAGTTCCTAATGTATGTTACTACTTGAAGGTTTTAATTCAACACTAAGGCGTGGAAATATTACTCACCATGAATATATCCAAGTTGGCAAGGGACGAGATGTTGGTCTTAACCAGATCTCACTTTTTGAAGCCAAAGTTGCATGCGGTAATGGGGAACAGACGCTCAGCCGTGATATTTACAGGCTGGGGCATCGTTTTGACTTCTTCCGCATGCTGTCATGTTACTATACAACCACAGGGTTTTACGTGAGCTCAATGGTAATATGTCTTATTTATAAATCGCAATTCATAACTGTTGGCAGTGTACACTAGATTTAATTCAGATTTCTCATGTTTAAAAACCAGACATACTCAAGCACACATGATCTTAACTTGGAAACATTGTTTTAAATATTTACATGGAAATGTATTATCTTTTCAGGAGACCATTATTTTGGTTTACCTATCGATAGAAAATAACATTTGTTTGGCACTGTGTATTATTCGGCATCGATATTTTTCTGAGACTGGATTTAGGAGTTTGTGAACCTAACTACATCTTTCGTTTTCACTTTCAAAATGTTCTGAGAAATGTTATGTATTTGTGTGTGCTAATTGCTTAAGCATAGGGCATCTGGCGCTCATCTATTTTCAGATAACTGTATACTGAATGCTCTATGAAAAAAATCTTTTGCAATGTCAGAAAAACGGTCAAAGAACCCTATATAGAAGTTTGTGGTTAGACTGCTGGAAATTCATTGTGATACATTCTTTTGTTATTAATTAGTGATTATGCCATACAATCTTAACAGTTGAAAAGAATTTGCTTTGTTATGTCCCCTCCAGCCAATATTTTTGATTGACAAAGTTTTTGGTTATCGATGATATGCAGCTGGTGGTCCTTACGGTGTATGCGTACTTGTACGGTAGACTCTACCTATCTCTCAGTGGACTGGAGAAGACCATAGTCAGGTTTGCAAGATCAAGGGGAAATGACGCTCTCAAGGTTGTCATGGCATCACAATCAATTGTTCAACTAGGTTTCTTGATGGCATTGCCCATGGTTATGGAAATTGGCCTTGAGAGAGGCTTTAGAACTGCAGCTAGCGATTTCATAATCATGCAGCTTCAACTAGCATCTGTGTTCTTTACTTTCTCTCTCGGGACAAAGCTCCATTACTTTGGGCGAACGATCTTGCATGGAGGAGCTAAATACAGAGCCACTGGGCGTGGTTTTGTTGTGAGGCACGAAAAATTTGCTGAGAACTACAGAATGTACTCGAGGAGCCATTTTACGAAAGCTCTAGAACTGATGATTATGCTCATAGTTTATCAAGCTTATGGTGCAGCTACTCCTACCTCTACGACTTACATATTTGTCACTTTCTCAATGTGGTTTCTTGTGGGTTCGTGGTTGTTTGCTCCCTTTCTTTTCAATCCTTCGGGATTTGAGTGGCAGAAGATAGTGGATGACATTGAGGACTGGGCCAAGTGGATGAGTAACCGGGGTGGAATTGGTGTTCCCGCGACCAAGAGTTGGGAATCGTGGTGGGATGAAGAGCAAGAGCATCTTCAGTCCACAGGTGCACTTGGACGATTCTGGGAAATTATCCTTTCTCTGCGCTTCTTCTTGTACCAGTATGGAGTTGTTTATCAGCTGCAAGTCGCCCAGCAAAACAAGAGTATCATTGTGAGTTATCTGAAATTGCTTTTGCTCTTGCTGATTTTTTAAAGATTTGTTTGGACTATGATTTTATTCCGGAGAAGCTGGAAACTTACTATATACTGGTATATTTAACAGGTTTACGGTTTGTCGTGGCTGGTCATTGTTGCCGTGGTGATCATTTTGAAGGTCAGTGGCAAAACTTTAATCTGGCTTTATTTTGTATAGTAAAATGCCGAGAAAATCAAAACGTCATCGTTGCATGTTGTCTCATTGAACCTTAATAATTAATACCAAAAATAGTTGAACTTGCATCTGCATGCATGCAGGTGGTGTCGATGGGAAGGCAGAGGTTCGGGGCAGATTTCCAGCTGGTTTTCAGACTCCTAAAGCTATTCCTGTTAATTTCCTTCATAGCCATACTTTTCGTGTTTGTCAAATTCCTGGACCTCACAATTGGAGATGCCTTTGCCAGCTTACTAGGCTTCTTGCCAACTGGATGGGCTCTTCTGCTGGTACTCTCTCTCTCTCTCTCTCTCTCTCTCTCTCTCTCTCTCTCTCTCTCTCTCTCTCTCTCTCTCTCTCTCTCTCTCTCTCATGAAAACTGAATAATGTATTGTTCCCTCTCTCAGATAGCACAAGCATGCAGGCCAGTAGCGAAAGGACTGGGAATGTGGGGGTCAGTTAAGGCACTGGCAAGAGGGTATGAGTACCTTATGGGGCTTGTGATATTTGCTCCGGTGGCAATCCTTGCCTGGTTCCCATTCGTGTCGGAATTCCAAACAAGGCTGCTCTTCAATCAGGCTTTCAGCAGAGGTCTGCAGATTCAACGTATTCTTGCTGGTGGAAAGAAAAACAAGTGAGACCATGTCCTTTATTATATGTTATCATATACGTATATATGCGCACAGTTTCGTATTCATTACTTGATCATTCACATTATATTACCTTACCCTGCAAAAGAGGATATATAGATTACAATACACAACCTCGACTTGTTAACTAATGCGTTAGCGGAGTCGTCGTTATTGTAGCATATCTAGCGGACGATGAAACTATATAGTTTTATACATGTACTCTAGTTTAAAAGTTGCATTTGCACGTCTACGATTGTAATACAAATATTATTACTAATCAAATGTGACCGGAAATATATTGTTTTTCACATTTAAACTTGACTGTTATTATAATTTTAATGTCGTCGTTTTAAGTACACGTTTTTTTTCCCCTTTTAACGAGGCTAGAGATATAATAGTGGAGGACTAACTTTCGTTTACTAATGATTTACGTAGTGAAATACGATTTTCTTAGAAAGTAAAATATGCTATTATTGAGGGAAAATTGTAAATTTGGTCTTGTATGTTATGCTTAGAGGTTTAGTCCTCTAAGTTGTGCTAATTCAATTTTAATTGCAATAACTATGTGGAATTGGCGTGTTTGATCCTATTTCGCTCTAACTTTGAATTTACCGGTTGTTTAATGATGCAGCTAAAAAAGTCATTGAAATTTATTTATCTGGACGCTTAAAAGTTACAAATGTTCATGTAACTTGGTTTATAGATTCGTCATCTCACACAATCAAAATTATATCAATGCTAAATTAGATGTTGACCTTATAATTTTTCCTTGTCCATATAAGTAAAATCCATCAAATTTATTTGTCGCGTCATAAAAAGAAATGCAATATAGAACCAAAAATACTACTATATTAACAAAGTTATTGCATGCAAAATTAAAACATAACTAAATCTTTAAATAGGCGAACATAAAAGACAAAAACTACAATTTTTCCTTACTATTGACATCGGAGTGGTCCACTACATCAAAGTACAGTTTATAATCACGGTACATTGTTAAATTTTTGCATAAAAATTGAAAAAAAAGGTTCTGCAAAATATAATAATCATTGCAACCGTTGCACGAGAAATATTCGAGTAAACAATTAAAATATTTGAAGGCTTGATAGAAGAGAAAATAAATCGATAAATGGAAATAAGTGAATGAAGCATTCAAATTTTAGATTAAAATTTGTATTACAAATTTTTTTCGAATTTTGGTTTCGCTAAAAGCCCATCTTGTGGATATTTCATACAGTAGGGCTGGGCATGGATCGGTTTTATCGACCAATCGATTCATTTTCGACCCACTTCTTTTGGCCGATGAGTTTGTTGTCGTGCCGGTAATTTTAACGACCCATATATGAATGGGTCGGTCGATGGTTTTCAGTTTACTCAAAAGTCGGTTGGTCAGGTTTCGGGTTTCGGGTTTCGGGTTTTCGGGTTTTCGTGTTTCGGGTTTCGGGTTTCGGGTTTTCGGGTTGGGTTTCGGGTTTCGGGTTTCGGGGCCAACCAACTTTTTTAATAATCTTTTTATATTATCTCTATATATATATATATATATATATATATATATATATATATATATATATATATATATATATATATATATATATATATATATATTATATACTCTTTCTATATCTATATATCTATATTCTATACTATATATATATTATATATTATATATACTTATAAAAGTACCAATGTGATAAGTGGTTTCTTCCCTTTTTTGATTGTACAAAAGTACCCCTTTCAAAGATAATATGTGAAGGACAATATGGTAATACTTTTGTACAACAAATTAATCTGCTCAATTTTGTTGTTGTTTTTGGAAGTTTGTATAATATGATTCTTTAATTCATAAATTAATATGTACGATTAATGTATGGGAAGATGAATGTTCATTGACATTTAGTTAGCATCAGTTTCATTGATGAGGGTATTTGTATGGTTTAGTCATTAATATGTACATTGGTAATATCCCAAACAATTGCAATATAAATCATACAAAAAAAAAAAAAACAAAGACAAAATAACATATATTTCTTCCCAAGACTCTAAGTAGTTGAAACACATCAAGACATATAAGTCTATGGGGCGGAAATCACCCAAAGTCCGCAGCCGCTGGTGTAGATAATCAGATAGGGGAGACCGATGATTTCACAGTTTCTAACATCTTCAACTTCGTTCTCTTTGTTGGCTTATGTCAAAATGGACAACTATACGCATGGTCACGACCTGACGGGGAAGATTTGATTATTGTCAAGAATATATGTATAATCCATTCATTTATTTGTTATTTTTCTCCTTAGGATTTTTTTTATTGTTTTACTTAGGAATTATGATTGCTTCTATTTGTTATTATTCCTTTAGGTAATTATGAGATCAAATTATTGATATGTAGGGATGTATACTAACTTCTAAGCAAATTGATTCAACTATTATAGAGATGGTTCTGCAACAAAACATTTATATGGTCATGAAGTATCGTTTCTTTACCGGGTACTCTTTTGTTTTCCAATTTTATTTCCTAAATATATTTGACGATCGAGTTTTGGTTGTATACAATTTGTTTAAGTTATTGTGGATTAATTTATTTAATTTTGATCATGTTAGTTAATATCAATTAATTAGGATATTAATAATTAATAATTATCATAATTGCTATTATAAGGTGGTGTTTGCAAATGATTATTTAAAAACAGAAGTTAGTGATTGTGATTTAAGTTAGTTTTAAGTGCTTATTTCTAAAAGTTGGGGGTGTTTGCAAATATTTCGGAAAATGAACTAAAATTGAAAAAGCAGGGTTATGGGTGCTTTTAAAAAAATAGCTTAAAGCAGATTATTTTAAGAGAAGCAAAAGCAAAAGTTGATTTTGCAAACACCTAAAAACAGATTATGAGCAAAAAAAAATCGCATAATCACTTTCAAAAAGTATTTACAAACACCACCTAAGATTTATTGAACTATTATAGTGTTTGATTGATACTCCATCATATTTTTTAATAATTATTATATCAAAGGTTTATTGAAGAATGAAATCATTCAATTTTGTGTTCGATTAGTTAGATTCAGCGTGGTGAAAATGCACTTTAATATTAATTAATTAGTTGACTAATACTAGCCATCGGTGAAAACGAGAATGGGCACAATCGGGATATCTGTTTCTTCACTCGGCACCACAGTTAAGAAGGGTAAACAACATAAAACTCTCATTTGTTATGAAAAATTTGCACCAAACTCAGTGCACTGCAGTTAAGAAGGGTAAAAAAATGTTAAAATCCCTCTGTTTTCTGGAAAAACTACACCAAATCCAGTGTTAATTTTACTCCATAGAATCCCCCTGTAATTTTATTTTATCTTGCATAAAATGTCCTATTTTGTTAACTTTTAGCACCGTTAACTATTGAAGGAATTTTATGCAACTTTTTAGTAACACAAGAGACTTTGATGTATGTTTTCTACAATACAAAGAGGGCTTATGCAAAAATAATTTGTTTATTTAAAATTCGAATTATGTTTTTCAAATTAAGGCAAACACGTTTATTCAATTGCAGTATATATTTAAAAACTAATGGTTCGGACAAATTTTTTAACGATTTATTTTTTTATTTTTTATTTTTTTATTTTGTCATTTCCAATTTTAAATTTTAAATTTTAGATCAGCTTTTTTCTTATTTTGATTTACAAAATTTGATTCTATTTTCTTTTTTCATAAAAAAAATTGCATCAAACCCGAAAGTTAATAAAACTTTGAGATTTTTTTTTTTTGAATAAAGTTCTGTATTATAATATTTTTTTTCAAAACTATAGGTATTTATAATATATAAATTTTAATAAATCAAAAATGTTAATATTTATAAGTAAATTAGTTTTTTGTATAACCCCCTTGTACAGTAGAAGTGGTCATTCAACATACTATCATAGCCAGAACAAATAAAAAAGGTAATGAGTTTGAATCCCACCGTCACTCATTTCAAATATTTCAAGTGTCTGCATATGTAATTCATTTGCACTTCAGGGACCCTATTGGAGATATTAATATTAACACGGGTGAATTTTATGTTGTTTATCCCTGTTAAAAAGTTTACTACAAATAATATTCTTATTAGAAAAATTATTGATATCTTTTGAACCATTTATTCGATGGTACATTTTTTGAATAATATAATTTTGTAATTAATATGAACAAAGTAAATATATTTTTCAATAGTATATTTTATGGGAATTTATGATCAACTATAAATGCATATTTTTTTGAAAACGGAAAAGTTAAAAGCATGGAGGAAGTGATTCTTACAAGACCGTAACATATGAAAACTGAAATGTATTTTGATTTTATTGCATTTAGTACCCATTATATTATATCGAATGGTTAAAAATCTCTCTGTTTTATTACTATAGCAAAAAAACCCTTTCATGAATTTTTTTAGCGCACAACCCTGTTTGCCATTTGCCTAATTAATATGGACATTCAATTATTTTTTGTCTTTCTGTGTAATTTTTGTTCATCCAATTTCAACGACGGCTGACCGACTGGGAAAACAATATCAGAATAAAAAGTTAAAAAAAAATCAACGCTGTAATCTGACAGGAAAAAAAAATGCAGAAAAAAAATTATTTTCTAAAAAAAATATATTTTTTCAAAAAATTGTGAAAAAAGGGGTTAATGTGAGATATTTGTTCAAATCTAGGGTCAATGTGCAATATTAATGAAGTTAGAGTATAATGGATGAAATTGATGAAAATTATATTATGAAGCGTATTTTTGACAAAAGGCATGGGGATGTATTTATTTGCGAAATTATTTTTTGTCTGGACTTATATGCATTTAAGTTTAACCCTATGGACCTATTTGTCATATGCCCATATTTATTATTCCCCTTATCTCCTTGGTCCTCAACTGAATTTTGTCCTTTTTACAAACTTATAAAATTTAATACAAGTTTCTAAAAAATTAAAACATAGCATGTTCTAATAAAATTGTTCGGAGGAGTTCAGGCAATGGTATGAGTTCATGCAATTGAGAAACTTGTAGAGAAAAACTAAATATTACTAATTTTTAATTTATAATATAACTTTGGCTAATATAGAAGTGCAATACATAAATCAAAATTAACAAATACTTAACTAGACACGTGCAACGCACGTGCATCTAGCTAGTTTCTTATAAAAGTATGAATAAATAGGTGGTTTCTTCCCATTTTTGTATGTACAAAATTACCCCACAAATTAGGCTTCAGACATAGAATTTTAAGGGCAACTATGGTATTTGATTAATATACATTAACGTTTAGGAACCAATTTATAAATCAATTAGAATAAATAAAT